ATTCGTGAACATTTAAACTACGAAACTGCCTGAACCTTACAAATGTTTAGGAAGTGTAATACGTATATCACAGCAGGTCCAAACGTGATCAATGATCATCAGCATTAATGACAGCTTTCAGACTTGCTCCAATAAATAGGATCTAAGAGCGTGAGTGTCGATTCAATTATATTATACAGGGTGCGGCAGAGAGGATGGACGGTTTTAAAAATATCATAAAATATACTAAGTGACATATAAATCCGAACACCCAGTTTAAATGGTTTTATTTTAATAAAATTTTGTATAAGTACTTAATGAAGCATAATAAGTAAATGATAAAAATTTCAAAATGATTGCACTGCTTTAAAGCCCTTTGACCTTTAATAATGTGTGGATGCACCCTGATGTGCTACGCATTCTCCAACGCGCCTAGGCATGCTTCTGATCAGGTGGTCAATGTCCTCCTGTGGTATCTCATTCCAGGCAACCACCAACTCCTCTCGAAATGCTTCTAGAGTCTGAGGAGGACGTTGCAAATTGAGCAATCTCCTACCCATCATATCCCACACGTGCTCAATTGGGGATAAGTCGGGAGATCTTGGTGGCCATGATAACAATGTGACATCATTATGTTGAAAGAAGTCTATTGTGGTCGGGCATTATCTTGTTGGAAAGTTGGATCTTCCAGGGAGTCAAGATAGGGTAAAAGATGGGGTTCTAGAACTTCGTGGATATAACGCTGCGCGTTCATGTTACCTCTGATGAAGATTAAAGGTGACCTAGAACCATAAGCTAAAGCACCCCAAACCATAACTCCAACAGTGTGAGGAACATGTCTTTCAACAAAAAACTGTGGATCCCTCCTTTCACCACGTCGCCTTCTAACCCTGGCACGACCATCGTGCATGCCTAAACAAAATCGAGACTCGTCACTAAAGACAATACTGTTCCATTTCCGATCCCAGAGTGACCGTTGTCTGCACCACTCAAGGCGATCACGTCGGTGTTCTCGAGTTAAAGGGAGGACCCAGTGTGGCCGGTATGAAAACAAACCAAAACTTCTCATTCGTCGGTAAATACTTCGCATGCCAATAGGTCTTCCGTGTACTGCAAACCATTCATTTGCAATGGACCTGGTAATGGAGAAACGGTCCCTTAAGGCCAATAATCTTAGGCGGCGATCTTCACGGTCTGTTGTTCTACGGCGGCGTCCAGTGCCCCTTGCTCTTTGCGTACGGCCTTCTCGAAGCCATGCCTGACAACACCTAACCACAGTGTCTACACTTCTTTGCACTCTAACTGCAATTGCCCGAAAAGAAAGTCCAGCTTCCCGAAGTACCACTATACGGCCCCTATCAAACTCACTAAGTTGACGAAATCGTACAGGGCTCCGTACTCTAGGCATTGTAACCGATCGTAAAGGATGTCAAGAACCAAAATCCGCCAACGTTGATTCTTTTCTGCGGCTGAAAAATTCATTTTTGGAGCATTAGTGAATTAAAAAAAAGCAGAATAAAAACCGGAATGTCCAACTGATAAGGCTGAAAATTTTTTCACTTGTTATTTACAGTAAGATAAATACATTCACCAACTTTTATTAAAATAAAACCATTTAAACTGGGTGTTCGGATTTATATGTCACTTATATATAATATATACGTATATATATAGTTAATTTTTACTCGAAAACAAATTTATTGATGAAATCAGGTTCACAAGGAAATAGCATTTGAGACAGTCAAGTGTGGAAAATCGCATCAGGTATGTGGTGGCCGAAATCGTTGATGCGGTGCTGGAGGCGTTCTTGGAAGTTCGCGTAGACTCTCTCCAACATCGCTCTCTCAACTTGGGCGACTACCACGCGAATTTCGCCCTTCAATTCGTCCAGAGTTCGCGTATACTCTAGCCTTGAGGTGTCCCAAAAGAAAAAATCGGCTATGGATAAATCAGGGGACCGAGGAGGCCAATGAACATCGCCAAACCTGGAAATAAGGCGACCAGGGAGGGCGAATAACGTCCATGGATGCTCGGGCTGTGTGGGCGGTCGCCCCATCCTGCTGGAACCACACACTTTGGACTGGAACACGTCGCCGTCGTAATTCAGGGAGAAAGAAGTTGGTGACCTGTCGAACGCGTTCAACATTTTCAGGAGTTCGAGCTGTTCGCGGCGCTCCTCTTGGTCTTCCGTTGATCAGTTCACCACGCCTGAGAAGTGATTCAACCCAACGAAGGATGGTGTTTCGAGAGGAAACAGCTCTATTCCGATGAATGTTGAAGTGGCGACGAAGCTCACGCTGTACGACGATGACTGACTCATTATTTCGGACGAAACAATCAAGGCTCCATAACGACAACTGATAAGATAATGCTAGGATCTCACGAGTCAAACGGCACCCTCCCCACCTCTCTCGTAGACGGAGGCGGAGAGTACTGCCGATCCCAAAAACGTCCGTCCTCTCTGCCGCACCCTGTATCATAATTTATGTATAACCGAAATCTAAGCTAAGCCGCTGACAGAAAGCTAATATTCATAAACTCTTTAAACCTCGGAGTCCCAGAAGTCCAGTGTGTAGCCCCGAAGTCGTAAGGTCACGTAGTCTGAGACCGAAATTGATATCATTCAACCAACTTTTCCTCTCCTCCCTTTTCAAATCGAGTTTTGTCGCAGTTGATCGTCCGGAAAAGTGTATACTGTGCTTCGGAACTGAAAGCTAAGCATGACGAAATCTCGACTTTTTGTTCGAGACAGCGGTTTGACGGTATTTCGGCAAAGCTTTCACATATTGAGACAAAGTTTGAGTGACGTGTCTGGAGACGGTGACCGCGTTATTATACAAATCGTAAATATTTACTCTGCTTTCTTCTAGATCATTATTACTGTTTCGGATGCATGCCGTGTCGAATTCGTACATCCAGAACAAACTGGCCGATACGATCGCTCCTTCGTCCATAGCGTATTGAAAATGTAGAACCATCTGCCTGAAGAGGCCTTTCCCAGTTCTACTAACTTTAGGCAGTTTAAAAATTGGACAAAGTTTCTTTAACCTCCTCATCGCAGCTGCGGTATCCTGGTATTTAGGCTTCTACCTGCGCGGCTGCTTCTGTACGAAAATGGTAGCAGTTGTCAGTATTCATCTCTTACAGTAAAAAAATGTTTTCCCTTTGGAATGATATTTTCTTAACGCTTAATTCGTTTTGCAATGACGTACTCAGGAAATGTGGCAATCGACAGACACCCTTGTACCTTTTTGTTGAGTATACTCATTCGCGTACTTTTGTACAGTCCACATTCAAAGAAAACAGTGGAAATTAAAATTTCAGTTTTTATTAGATATTTACAGAATATTCACTTTTTTAATCTATTTTTCGTGTTTGCCTTGATGACTTTTCCTCAGACGCTTATTTGATCAAAATAGGGTATATTATTTCGGAAGAGATAAAATAATATGGCTACCAATAGTCCATCTTCTATAATATCAAGGGCTTATTTTATTTATTTTAAATGTCAACTACGAAAATTATTAGTTGAAAAATATTTCTACTCTTTGTCTGAATACCTCGCACTATGATATATTTTTAAAACTTTTTTTATATGTGAATGTCTGTACACCTTAAGTTGTTCCTGTTTGTACTTTGTGAATACTCATTTTTGTTTTGTTTTTACTTTTAATTAAGTGTACTATGTACCTCCCCCTTAGGACGAGTCTTATGTCATTTTATGATAGACAATAAATGTATCTATCTGTCTATCTATCTATAGAATATATGGAATAAGATCCCAGGGCTACCAAACATTACCTATTGTCTGAAAAACCTGGTCGATAAATTTAAATCTACCTTGAAAACCGACAAAAAGTTCATCTAAGTCAATAGTACTCTACTGAATTTGTTCAGGTGTACCACGGGGACCCGCCTTAGGACCCCTGTTATTTTCATTATATACCTCCAATTTAGAAACAAAGACAAAATCAAGCAACATACAATGACCTGGAAACAGCTAATAACATTATTATTATTACATAAATCTGCGAGAAATTATATAATTCTTTAAACGGTACTTTAAAAGAAACTAATTCATTACCTAAATTCAAAAAAAAATTGAATGAAATCCCACTTGATCAGCAGCTTAATCTTTTGTGAAAAGTAAATGTTAACTGACGTTGTTTTCTTTGTGACTTTACATTCATTATGATATACAGGCATTAATTTTTAACTGATTGTGAGGTTTTTATATATCTCGTATTGTAAATAGCGGGTACGTAAACGTTAAGTTTGATATTTACGTATGAAGGATTTATATTTGCAAAATCTCTCTTTTACAACAAAGATATCATGTGATTTATCTTGCACCAATATGTTCTAGAGGTGTTGAAAGAGCAACCATTCTTTACTTGAGTACTCGTTACTCATAGATACGTGAAGTAACAACTATCAATCAATATTACTTTGATTACTTTGATTATTCTGTTTTCCGTATCCGTACAATCGTTGATCTCTGCCATCTTAAGCATCACGATAGTTCTACCGCTCATGCATCAGGGTTGTCAAACATCCCATATTAGGGCGAAAACCTGGAAACTCCAGATTTAAAATCAATTATTAAATTATATGTCCGCCAATGAAAAAAAAATAAGCTTACCTGTTTACACCGTGACTCAAATTCGCTGTTATTGTTGTGATCTTGGTAACCTGAAAAGGAAGGACTACATTGGATTGCAGCAAAGTTCAGCAGTATTATGACCCAGAGAAGCGACAACAGGGTAACAACCACAATAATAAAAATTATGTCAATTTGATTCGTGTTCACTTGTCCGACATTATGCTTAAAATTTATAATTCAGAGTGACCTCCATTAGTGTGTGTAGACTAAGCTCCACGTAGAATTTTTTATACTGGTACATGCTTAATCGAAATACTTCTAAAAGTTACTTGAGTAGATAGGGTTTGTATGTTCTGGAACGCCCTTGAGCGCCGAGCTTCGGTACCAAACGACCTTGAGAGCTGACCTTTGGTACCAACCTCTACATCTCAAGGTCGTTCACTCCTACAAGGTCACACCCACTCAAGGTTGAGAGTGCTCGAAGTCATACATGTTCAAGGCCACACTTCAAGGTCACTCGGAAACTCAAGGTCACATTTCATCGTCACGCTTCAAGGTCACACTTAAAGGTCATTAGAAAAATCAAGGTCACACTTCAAGGTCACTCTGAAAGTCAAGGTCGCCAGACAACTCAAGGTCACACTTCAAGGTCACATTTCAAGGTTGGCACCGAAGGTCAGCTCTCAAGGTCGTTTGGCACCGGATGTCGGCGTTCTCTTCTACATCTCAAGGTCGTTCACTCCTACAAGGTCAAACCCACTCAAGGCCGAGAGTGCTCGAGGTCATATATGTTCAAGGTCACCCATCAAGCTCACTCGGGAACTCAAGGTCACATTTCAATGTCACACTTCAAGGTCACTCGAAAACTCAAGGTCACGTTTCAAGGTCACACTTCAATGTCACATTTCAAGGTTTACACCGGAGGTCGGCGCTCAAGGGCGTCCCAGATCATACAAACCCTATCTACTTACTTGCCATTCCGAATTTCCTTAAGCCCATATACAGATCATTTTTCTAACTAAGCATTTCTAGTAAGTATTTTCAGTTTGTAGGCTCATATGAGTCCTATGACACATTATTCTATAATAACCCATCTCGTTTTACATAAAGTTTGAGGATACGATGTTTGCATTAAGCTCGGCAAATTTGAATAAACTACGGTTGAAAAAAATTTGTATATTTTAAGATTGTCTATTTTTCTATTTCTTATTATACGACGCACATTGACAAATCATTATACTCATACTACTCATAGTATTCAAAGTAATCAAAGGAACAAATGCAATAAATAATTACCTTCTAGAAGAATAACGATGTGTGGATATAAGTCTGGTGCGGTTTTAGGTACATCAGGGGTGCCCCAAGGTTCTGTTCTGGGTCCTCGATCATTTTTAATTCTTATCAATGATGTTACAACAGACTTGCGTTGTGAGTACCTGCTATATGCCGATGACCTCAAAATCTTTAATAGCGTGTGGTGCTTAGAAGACAGTTTAAGGTTACAGGCTGATTTGAATGTCATTGATCACTGGTGTAAGGTAAATAACATGCACTTGAATGTCAATAAATGTACTATGACGTTTACACGCAGGGTGGAACCGACATGTTTTAATTCTGAAATCGCTAGCAATGTTCTTTGTCGTGTTAATATCGTCGAGGATTTGGGCGTATTATTCGATGTAAAGCTTTCTTTTATTGATCACATTAATGCAATAATAGCAAATGCCTTTGAAAATCTTGGTTTTGTTATAAAAATCAGTAGACATTTCAATAATACTAATACATCAATTTTACTTTTTAATGCTTTTGTCACATCTATTTTAGAATACTGTTAGATTATCTGGTAGCCGGCCTATGATATATACTGTAAAAACATCGAGAGAATCCAACGTCGTTTTGTGAAATACTTATGGTTTAAAGGTGATAGAGCGTACCCTGAAAGGGGTATACGCAATGACATTCTCGTAAGTAGATATAATTTACATAATTTAGTCAAACGTATGAATCTGTTAGCTGCTAAATTTTTATGTAATTTGGTGAATCGAACAATTAATTGCTCTTTTCTTCTAGACAAGATCTCTCTACGCGTTCCCGATTTGCGTAGTCTTTTTTATCATGTACTGTTTAGAGTTTTGTTTTTGTATCATTTTTTATTTTTCCCTGCTTGTTAATTGGATCACTCTGTTCAGGCAGTGTATGGATTATTATAAATAAATTATTCGAAAGTAACGAGAATCAATACCACTAATATGTACCTCTTGGAGGTCAAATGTCTCCGCCATTGGTTGCCAGCAGATTGACAGCGAGTCTGCAAAAATGAAGAATAGGGTATACGCAGCAAAGAGCTCATTTCACATGCAGCTTATCTGTATTTACTGGGCTGGGAAACTCCCGGATGTGATTTTACTGGAAGCTCCGTGACGCTGGGCACTTCGGAACAACGACAGTTTTTGTTGAACAAACAAAACAGTTCACTCGAAATTTGCATAACAAGTGGTTTCCATTCACGTACTAGTATGACGCTGTACAACAGGCGAACATGAAATTAGATTGAATCTTCGTTATTTGAACATGGATTTAATAAGGACATGATTTCCAGTTCATCGCATTGCGATTAATTCCGTAGTGGGCAATGGAGCGACTTTCTTGCAGAGATGCTTGGCTCAAGTTTTCCTCTGGAAAGTTGCGAAATCGCTCAGAAATGGAAAGCGAGAACAACTCCCGCACGTTCACAGTACTGGGGGTATAGTCTTTAGGACAGAGGAAATGGTCGAAGTTTTCGCTGATGCTATGGAAAGACAGTTCTCTCCCAACTATGACCTTCACTCTGACCTCGACGAGGAGCAACACACCACCAGGACATATTTTAGGCGCCAACGGCGTCAGTAGTAGTGGCTGTTCCCTTAGTGATTTTTCCTCAGAGGAGTCTTCTTCGGAAGATTCCTCAATTGAAGAGTTGCACGGCACATCAGCGGAATGTCTCGAGACTCCACATTGCATACCAGCAGAGCTCCAAGATCATATTGAAGACCACAATGTGCGTATAGCACATAGGATGATCAAATCACTAATAAGGCGCTGAAGCTGCTTTCCTTATCTCGTGGCAATAATCAGTGCCATGGTACGGACCCAATACTTCCCAGTGGGGTAGAAGACCGCTGAAGTTATAATGATTCCAAAGAAGGTGGGTTCAATATTCCCTCACGATTACCGACCTATTAGTCTACTGTCTGATCCTTCTAAGCTCGCTATAAAGGTGATTCTACGTCACCTTGAACATTTCTCGTCAGACCACAATGTAACTCGTGACGTGCACTTTGGCTTTCTGTCTGAGCATAATACGGAGTTACAGGTGGTTAGGCTTGTTGAGCGAGTAACCAGTGGCTTCACCATTAGAGAAAGTAATCGCATCTTACTTCTGGATGTCTTAAAGCCATTTGACAAAGTGTGGCATAAGGGCATCATCTATAAATTGATCTAAAAGAACATACTCTTCTGACTCCTAATAGTTTTGAAATTTTTCACTGAGGGTAGAACATTTCATATTAAAATGAATAACGTTCTGTTGACAACACGGCTCATCAAAGCCGGTGTCCCTCAGGGTTCGGTACTTGGACCAGTCCTTTATTAACTTTTTGTTCATGTCATTCCTTGCCCCAGAATTCTTCCTTTATGCTGATGACACTACCCTGGTAGTCCAGGTTAGATAAAAAAAAAATACGTGAAAAAAGTCTAGCAGATGTGTTACAGTTTTAAATGGCAAATACATAAAAAGATACAGCCAGATATGCGATGTTTTTTATAAACAATTGGAAAAGCCCAAACTTCAGTATTTTGCTTGCTTAATTTTCAAATTAAATTTTATAAATAGTCGGTAAGCTGGAGTTTTTAGAGCATAAAAAGTCCTTCAATTTTGGTTTTTAAGAATTGAAACAGATAAGCAATTAAGCTAAATTCGGGGTTTTTTAGCAATATTGAATAAATGTTTATAACTATTGTAATAAAAATAATTGTAAATGGCTAATATATAGAGGTTATGTTCTGAATATGCTCCGACTATGTGAGACGGGCATTTACTGTCAGATCTGTGTGAAGAAAAACAGTCTCTAAGGTATGTTTGCCAATCTTATATGTTAAGTTACGATTATTCTTTCACAGGTGGAGAACGTGGCATTTCGAGAGATTTAAAAGCAGGGGCCAAAGTTCTGACCACTTTCTGATCAGCTTGAGGTCTTCTTGAAGCACAGATTTATGGCCCTGGAACATTTTAGAAAAGATAAATAGAATCTTGAAGGTTTCAACTTCAAGCATTTATGCAAAAAGTTAACTATTTATTTCAAAATTGTTGTCAAAAATGATGTTGAAGAAATAGCAATTTTTATAGCTATAAAGCTTTTTCAATATAATTTATTTCAACATATTGATCTGCAATTGGAGCCAAGATAACTTTTTTAAATTCATGTGACCTTAGTTTATAAACATTAAGACTGGAAATTTTCACAGATTTTAATGAAGGATCTTAATTTTATGATCTAATATATAACTTTACTATTAGTTCAGGAGTCTTTAAGAAATAGCCACCTGAAGTAAAGGTACTCGCGTAAGTATTTTCGGGTGAGATGGTGGGTGAATCAGTTCTAGCTCGATTTATTTTTTGAAATTGAGTCTTCAAATCGCAGCGCGCTATATAATTTCGATTATCTCTGCTTCTAAGCAAACTAGAACCTCCTTTTTTTAATTTGGGGTAACTCGTCCAAATGACTTGACATGACATCTGTCAAATTTTTATTTTCTTGGAAAATCGGGAAATCCCAGAAAGCTTAACATATTGCATTCTAAAAATTAAATTGCCATGAAATAATAATAAATTAACAATGAATCATTTACATTATTTTATTCTCCTTTAAACATTTTTTATTCCTTTCAATTATTTATTTCACAAAAAATACCTATTTTTTTGTAGGCTGGTCTATGAGTGGCCCAATTGTGTTCTGGGAATCTGGTTCACGATACGTTGCAAAGTGCGGTGAATGAGGTACTGGAATAGGTGGCTGATCAAAATTAATCATTCACAAACGCAAGGTAAAAAACGCAGCAGCACCCCACCTGAGGTTTCACTGAAACCTATCCTTCTTTCTACAGCTCCGCCATCTTTTGATACAACTGAGTTTCAACGGCTGAGCCTATGAGCTTTAAAAAAGCAACCTATTGTGTCTACCGTAGCATATGACCTTCAGTGACCCTACACTAGATGGCACAGTATCCGAGCCTCACTAAAAATCAATACTACACCAACCACTTTCGATCGATACATCCACAGGAGACCAGTTTTCGAGCCAGGAATTAAATTCATAGCCAAAGAAACATCATATTTTCCGTTGTTTTAGGTAGTTTATAATTTGATACATATTTCTAGTAAGAAATTAGCAACAACAAATATATCTACATTTCAGAAAAAAAGAAAGTCAACTCATTTGCAAAATCTCGTTCAACAAATGCCCACCGTGACGCTACGATCTGATTATCGATTAGTTACTCCTGTTCTTGCTTCTGCGCAAAGCCGGGAACTCCACTGGAAGTCGCCTCGTCCTTGAGGAGTCCTTCCTACCTCCTGTCACATGCTGTTCTCCTGCTGAGAAAACTCCCTTTCTGGATAACGCTCGTCGCTGTTACCAACTCCGGGAGTTCCTTCCGGGATTCTCCAGCGCTTTCGCTCCTGCTGAAACGCAACTTCGCGGAGTTTCCTGCCGCGGAAACGATTTTCCGGGACTCCGCCGGAGTTTCCACGATTTCCATTTTCCAATACAAAGAAGTTGCTGGAGAATTTCATCAGGAGAACATGAGGGGCGAGAAGGTCGTGCGGCGGGAGGACGCGTGCAGCAGGATGAATGGATCGATATCCTGCTTTCCGGCGAGGGTCCTGCTGGCGGTGCGGTGTTGCCAAGTGCTGCGGACGCTTTTGCGCTAGACATTGGGCGCAAAATGAAGCAACA